CTGAACTTTTCAAGTACCTATAAAGATATTTGAAGCATGGTAAAAATTATTGGCTACAAAACATGAATGTAACTGCTGCTAAATAAATGTTTAAATAAAAAATGTCAAAACTGTAATGAATCAATTTTATAATTATTTTTTATTCATAAAAATTGAATACATTGGAAAAATAGTTCATTTGCACGAATTCCTGAGTATATATAACCTCTGTTAAGAAGTTATAACCAATAATATATTTCAAAAGCAAAATTTAAAAATTCAAAAATTTAAAAAAAAGTTAATGTAGAATGTGGGTACACGTTAAAGTATATATGTGCAGTGGGACCTCCAAAAGTAAGAGTGACTAGGATTTAGCATAGTCAAAATATTTTGGGTAATAAATGCCTCATTTTTATCATGCTATGTGTCAGATACATAATATGAATCATCTTTTTTTAATCCCTACAACAGTTATGGGTTGTAGCTCTGTTTATCATCAACTCGCACAAGGTTGAATAGCTAAGAAAGGCAGTGCTGTAATTTGAAGGCAAGCCAGCTTGACTAAAAATCCTGAGCTGTGAGTGAGAAATTACAGTGTTATGATATCAAATAATGATAATTTTTAAAAGCTTACAAAATTGTATAAATAGTTTGATTATAATTTTAGGAAAAAATGACTGTATTCATTGAAAACAAAACATGCTTCTGATTTTTACCATTCTATATCTTCTAAATTATCTTTACAATGGTTGTGCAACACGTGTTGATTTTTTTTATATTAAATTTATTGGGTGATATTGTTTAATAAAATTATATAGGTTTTTGGGTGTACAATTCTATAATAACTCATCTGTATTTTGTATTGTGTTCACAATCCTAAGTCATGTCTCCTTCAATCACTATTTATCACCCCTTTACCCTCTTTTCTACCACTTTTCACTCCGCCCAACCTTTTTACTCACGTGTGTGTGTATATAAATGTGAGTAACTGCACCGCAACCAAGATAAAAGGCATTCCCATCACCCCAGAAAACTCCTGGTGCTTCCCTTCAAGACAGCTCACCACACCATCACAAAGCTGTCTTGCTTCCATCACTACAGGTTCCTTTCCTCTCTTCCTAAGTTTCATCCTTTGTGAATGGGTTCTTCCACTCAGCATCAGGTTTTTAACATTCATGCATTTGGTTATTTACTTTTGTATTGCTGAGTAGTATTCCATTTTGTGAGTGTCCACAGCTGGTTCTTTAATTTTGCTGTTGATGGACATTTGGTAATTTTGAGTTTGGGATAAAGCTACCTTAAACATTGCACCGGTCTTATTTCAGACATGTAGTTATCTTGGGTGACATGTAGGAAGGATGCTTGGGTGACACCTAGGAGGGATGCTGCAAGTGTGTTTAACTTAATAAGAAATTGTCACAGTATCTTCTTGAGTGGCTATACCATCCCACACTCGCACCAGCAGTGTGTGGGTGATTGAGTTATCCAATAGCCAGTCCAGCACCAACCATCTCAGTGGTTTTAATTTGGGATGCTCAAGTATCCATAGAATAATATTTAATTATGGTTTTAAATGTACATTTCTTTGTATAACAAATGATTGTCCTGCATGATTTTAATGTGCTATTGGCTACTTGAATATCCCACTTGGGGAAGTGTCTGTTCTAAACATTTTGCTCATTGTTTAAACTGGCGTGGATTGTCTTTTTATCACTGATTTGTAGGAAATTCTATATATTTTGGATATATTTCATTCGTCAGATATATTAGTATGTTTGGCAAATGTGTTTCCCAATTTTTGATGTGCCTTTTTCATTTTCTTTTTTTAATGAACATTTTATCGTTGATAGTATTACAGATATCTGCCCCCCCCCCCTTTTTTAAGAAGCATTCAAGATTACTTGTAAAATAGTGTCATCTTGTGGTTTTTATATAGTCATTACAGTCTCAGCTTTAATTTCAGTTTGTGAGCTGATTACTAGAGGGCAGAACTGAGCTTTATTCTGGTCAAGTTTTCAGGGCTGAATGTGACAAAAAGCTAGGTCAGGATTCCACCTCTCCCTCAAAACTAAAAGAACAACAACAAACCATTTACAATGCCATAGATATATATCGTAGATACATAGATAGATAGATAGATAGATAGATAGATAGTCAAAAATACCTTCACATAGCTCCTCTGTATCTTGAAGCAATATAGCAGAATTATTAAGCATTGAGCCCTGCAGCCATGCTGTCTCAATTTGAGCCCTGACTCCACCACTTACTACCTGTGTGACCTTAGCCAAATCACATAACCTCTGTGGGTTTTATCTTTTTCTCCTTTTTCTCCATTTCGATAGTAAGGATAAGAATTGTTCCCACTTCTTAGGTTTGTTGGAAAAATAAATGAAATATAATAATATATTTATAGTGCCAGTTAAGAGGGGTGCTCAATAATTAGTAATTATTACATTGCCTTCTGCCCAAAGCTCTCCTTCTTTTAAGAATATATATATATTCTTTGTTAAGAACTTTGTTATTACTGCTGAACTTTCAAAAGAAATGCACAGCTCTTTAGCTCCGTAACCCATATCTGCCGAGATGTCAACTATGGTTGAGTCCTACGATATTTGTAAGGCTGGGAAAAGAACCCTGGCAGGTATTTTTTATAGTTTTCCTCTTCTGCTCTTGGTCTTCTTCCTCTAGCTCCCTGGCTACCCAGGTTCTCACTTCATGCCTGACTGCAAGGAGCTACATGTCTAAGTTTTGTTCTGGGTGATTAGCCAGGAACACGCCAGTCTGGACCTAGTTCTATAGCACATGCCCAAGTTTTATAGAGCTGTGCATTCTGTGTCTCAGTCTCAAAAGGAATACATATAAATGAGGACAATGCGGGGGGAAGGTAAGGGCAGAGGTTAGGGTGGGAATCAGGTGGAAGGCAGCTATGGGGAGAAAAAGGAGAAACTATTGTAATAATCTGAGCAATAAAGATTTTTTTTTAAAGGAATACATAGTTCCCAGCCTAATGTTATGGAAAGTCTTTACTGCTTTCACATGACATGCACACACACACACACACACACACACACACACACACTAGAGGCCTGGTGCATGAAATTCGTGCAGGTGGGGGCGGGAATCCCTCAGCCCAGCATGTACCCTCTCCAATCTGGGACCCCTTGAGGGATGTCTGATGGGATCAGGCCTAAATGGACAGTCAGATATTCCTCTCACAATCTACCGTGTTTCCCCCAAAATAAGACATCCTCTGAAAATAAGACCTGGCACATGGAAAGATAAAACATCCCCTGAAAATAAGACCTAGCACAACTTTGGGAGAAAAAATTAATATAAGACACTGTCTTATTTTCGGGGAAACAGGGTAGGACTGCTGGCTCCCAACTGCTCGCCTGCCTGCCTGCCTGATTGCTCCTAACCCCTTCTTCCTGCCAGCCTGATCACCCTAACCACTCCCATGCCACCCTGATCGATGCCTAACTGCTCCCCTGCCAGCCTTGTCACCCCTAACTGGCCTCTCCTGCCAGTCTGGTCCCTCCCAACTGCTCTTTCCTGTCAGCCTGGTCACCTGCAATTGCCCTCCCCTGCATGCCTGGTTGCTCCCAACTTCCTTACCCTGCAGGTCTGGTCCCCCTAACTGTCTTCCCCTGCAGGCCTGGTCACCCCCAACTACCCTCCCTTGCAGGCCTGATCGCCCACAACTGTCCTCCCCTGCCAGCCATCTTGTGGTGGCCATCTTTTGTCCACATGGGGGTGGCCATATTGTGTGTTGGAGTGATGGTCAATTTGCATATTACCTCTTTATGATATAGGATATATATGTGTGTGTGTTTGTGTGTGTGTGTGTGTGTGTGTGTGTGTGTGTGTGTGTGTTTGTAGTATTTAGCAGTAAAAAATGTTAAGGGACTCTGTTTTTGTTTTTGCAATCAATTAAAGTTAAGAGGGAAGTTAAGAGAGATGTGTCATTCCAAACTAGTATGATAAAATTTCAGGGCTTGCTGAGGCACTAAGATGGCCATGGTGGCCCCTCACCCTACGGGCTAGAGGCCGTGATCGTGACAAACTGCTCTCCCAAACCCGCCTCTTCCCGAGCCCCCGTCCCGGCGGCCGCTAATTAGCCCATATATGTTAATTAGTCATGCTAATATACTAATTAGCCCATATATGTTAATTAGTCATGACCAGTCAAGTGCTTAATAGTCATGATCAGTCAGGCGCGGCCCAGGAGCGGACCCCATGGAAGTGGCCACTGGTGGGGACATGCACAGGCCCGCGGCACTGCCCAGCCTGGAGGCCACACCGGCTGGGGATAATGAACAGGCATGCTGCATTGCCTGGCCTAGTAGTGCCCCCGGCAGAAGTGGCCACTGGCAGGGGCATGTGGGCACACTGCACATGGCCTGGAGGCTGCCTGGCTGAGTCACTTTAAAAGTATTAAAAGAACTTCTGGAGTGAGCATGGGAGAGGAAGTGGAAGGCTTGAACTAGACTGAACTAATGCAATTCATGTGCTATATATATATAGAGTTATTTTGATCACTTGGTGATCTCTCTATCTTGGTTGATAATATAGACCCAAGCAGAACAAATGACTTGGAATTCTGAAAAATCTAACATAGTATTCTTTTCTTTTTAAAATTCTGTGTTTTACTACTTGCTTTTCCTTCAGCCTGCAAGTCTCTTAATACCAATACCCTTTGCAACCCCATTCTTCAGGCTAACTTTTCTTTCAATACTCAACTCAGAGAAATGTCTCTTCTCCCTCCTCCCCTCCCCTGAAATTTGGGTTTGGGTGATCTTCTCTATCTTTCTCTGCCTGGGCTAATTTAATCATAGCACTTTTTATTCTGTATTGACATTATCTGTTTACATTTTTGTCTCTCTCCAAGAGGACAGTATGGTGGAGAAATGTTGACATATTTAATAGTATAATAATGATAATATCATTAATATAATGCTAACAACGTATCAGACCCTGTTATAAATGTTTGCTGTATGTTAACCCATGTAATCTTCGCAACAATGTGGACAGTTATTACTAAAGTTAAATCAACAGAACCTCGTGATGAATTGAATGTGGGGTCAGAGAATAAGGAAGAGTATCAGTTGACTCCCAGGTTTTTGACTGGAGCAAATGGATGAACTGTGCATGGAAGTGCTATCCGCTGATATAAATAGTACAGGAAGAACAAGAAAAGGAGGGATTTTGGTTGGAGGGAGCGAGGAAATATTTCCAGTTTGGGAACTGCTATCTCTTTTCCATTTTTTCATAACCAATATTTTCAGAAGCTTCAGGAATAATGTAACACGTATTTCCCTCTCATTGACAGGCATTTGGAAACACCACGGTCCATCTCGGGAAAGCACATTAACATTCCATTATTTCTTTGTTAGCTTTCTGGAAACAGGAAAGATATATTACTGGAACCTGGCCTTTCTCTCATCTTATACACTGGTTTAAGGCTCTCAGAAGACAGAGAGGACACTATGACCTTGCATTGTACAAGCTCTTGTGGTGGTTGTACCTCCTGGCCTTCACATCTCTCTCTAAGCAGGTGTGAGCACCCTCACAAGATAGGTGTTGTGGGCCCTTGTGCTCCTGATCATTTGTTCCTGATCATTGGTTGCTGCTCAATTCACCACTGAACAGATCAATAGAGACCCATCATTTGACCCGGGTTCTTGTTTTGAATATGTGATTTTCAATTAAGACTGTCAGACTTCCAGGGCCCTTTCCAGTTTCATTTCTCACCACCAGGTGGCTTTAGGATTCATTGGACCTGTCAACCCCAGCTACTGTGAGGCAGCCATGCTGTTTGGAAACAGCTGGGACAAAGGGATTTTCTTTTGGGCTTGTGTAAATTATGAATTAGGTTAAAACAAAAACAAACAAAAAACAACAACTACCTGACCTTTCTCAGACACTCCTTTCTTCCATTTGGTAACTGTCATGGAATATTTCCAGTGGGCTCAGACTGGAGTGATTATTTCTTCTTCTTCTTCTTCTTCTTCTTCTTCTTCTTCTTCTTCTTCTTCTTCTTCTTCTTCTCCTCCTCCTCCTCCTCCTCCTCCTCCTCCTCCTCCTCCTCCTCCTTCTCCTCCTCCTTCTCCTCCTCTTCCTCCTCCTCTTCCTCCTCCTCCTTCCCCTCCTCTTCCTCCTCCTCCTCCTCCTCCTCCTCCTCCTCCTCCTCCTCCTCCTCCTTCTTTCTCATTCTCCTTCTCCTTCTCCTTCTCTTTCTCCTTCTCCTTCTTCTTCATATATTTTATTGATTTTGTACAGAGAGGAAGGGAGAGAGATAGTTAGAAACATCGATGAGAGAGAGTCATCGACCAGCTGCCTCTTGCACACCTCCTACTGGGGATGTGCCCGCAAGCAAGGTACATGCCCTTGACTGGAATCGAACCCGGGACCTTTCAGTCCCCAAGCCAACGCTCTATCCATTGAGCCAAACTGGTTTCGGCTTAGAGTGATTTCTTTAGATGAAGACATTTGGGTGCACACAGCCAACCAAGTTGTAAATGCTCTTAGGAGCCATTGCCTACTTGTAGGGGTCGTCCTGAACACGGGACAAGTCAGCCAAAGCATCCAGGAAGCTCTCCCGTAAATTTGTCTGGTGGACAGAATTCGCAGTAAGTGCTTTTCTCCTGGCTGAGGTTTAAATGTAACTCAGAAAGATACTACAGTCTCCAACCTATTTCCTATCTTCAGCCATAGGGTATCAAATTACTCCCTAGTTCTTCATGCATTTGCCCCCTTTCACTCCCACACAGGCCGGAGACTGAAAAAAGGTACAGAGAATTCTGCAGTTAAAGTGCCTTTAGGTGCCAATGTCTGCTTTCAGCACCTGGGTGGGGAACAATAGCATCAAGAGCTATCCACATGCCTAACCCTGGAGGTTTCAGATTAGCCAAAGAGGAGTGTTTTTATTATTTCATTTTTGTCTGTTCTAGTCACTGAAGGGAGATTTTCCTTTCACTCCCTTCTGGGTACTTTCCCTCATAAGTGACCAAGGTCCTTGTGTTATCACATATCACTTTCTTTACCTTTTATTTATTTATTTATTTATTTATTTATTTATTTATTTATATTTTTAATATACAGTGGTGCCTCACACAACGAACTTAATTCGTTCCAGGAGCAAGTTTGTTATGCGAAAAGTTCGTTATGTGAAATGCGTTTTCCCATAACAATACATGTTAAAAAAAATAATTCGTTCTGTAGCATAAAATATGCTAAGATGACATAAAAAAAGATAAATTTTTTGTTATTATTTTTATTTAGATACATCTAAAAACATAATTTTTTTTAAAAAAACACATTTTTTTAATTTTAAGACAGACTAAGTAGAGTCTACCGAATCTTGCACATCTTCATCCATTTTCTGCTTTTTGGCCGATGGTTTCATGAAAAACCTGTCCAAAGTCGTTTGTTTTTCTCTTTTCTCCAACATCTGCCGGAAATAACGGACAAGAGTATCGGAGTAAAGATTGTTGATCCTGTTTGCTTCAGCTGAATCCGGATAGTGGGCATTGGTAAACTCCTGAACTGCTTTCTATTTGACCAGGATGTTCTTGATGTCAGCAGTCGGGATTGGTTGATTGTTTTGATTGTTGCTCCTCGTTATCAGATGACGCTTCCCTTTGAGCATTGTCCTGTTTCATTTCAACAGAAATCACCTTCCTGCTTTTTTTAGAAGCCATGATATAAAAAAAATATTGAGTTTAACTTAAAAGGACGACTGCCGTGATACGTGAGTGATTTAATTCGTAATGAAGAACGATTGCCGCGATACGTGCTTAAGTTAAGCGCAGTGACTAACGACTGCCTGCAGTGCCTGCGCGGAAGGATGCAATACATCGGCAGCGATCGTGGAAGCTCGGGCGAAGCAGTCGTGGAAGCTCGGGCAAAGCGGTCGTGGAAGCTCGGGCGACTTCGTTGTGTGAAACGAAGTTCGTTGTATGAATCATGAAATGAAGTTCGTTGTGTGCAGCGTTCGCTGTGCGAGGCGTTCTTTATGCGAGGCACCACTGTATGTTATTGATTTTGTACAGAGAGGAAGGGAGAGAGATAGAAAGCTAGAAACATCGATGAGAGAGAGTCATCAATCAGCTGCCTCTTGCACACCCCCTACTGGGGATATGCTTGCAACCAAGGTACATGCCCTTGACCGTAATCGAACCCGGGTCCCTTCAGTCCCCAAGCCGACACTCTATCCATTGAGCCAAACTGGTCTCGGCTACATATCACTTTCTTATCTGGACTCTGAAATGCATGTCCCCCTTCTGTCTTCTACCCGCAAACCAGGGCTACTTTCTCTGCAACACACAAGTAGCAGATATGGAACATCATTTTTGGCTAATAAATTAAAGCATATTAAAATAAGGCTGTCTGCATTTTAATATTTCCCCTTTCAAAAAAGTTTTTAAAAATATATTTTTATTGTTGATATTATTACAAATATATCCCATTCACCCCACCTCAAGAGAAGTTTTATGTTCAAAGATAAGTTTTACAAAGGCACTGGACAAATTGTGAACACTTTGGATCAACCCACTGAAGCTAGCATTAGCAGGGCGAGTGGGGACATTTTGGGGAAGAGGGTCCTTCCTGATCCTTTTAATTCAGGTCTTTTACTTACACTTATTACAAACTCTCATGACACTTAGTCTTGTTCTAATTTTTTAAGTATCCACTTTACATTTTTTCTAGAAAGTGGCAGTAATTTGTAAGAACACTGCTCATTTTCTTATTGCAGCCTCTCCACCACTTTGGGACAGATAGCTCAGACATTACTTTGTCAAACTGATTACTTCTAGGATTAGTCCTAGTCCCAGTCATTTCCTTAACATAACAATGGGCTTGTTAAAAAATGGTCCAGCTAATTCCTGGCCTATACTCAGAATCCCATTTTAGGTTTCAAGTGTCTTCAGTATTGGACATTAATTATGATTATTATGGGAGGATGAGGGCACTAATTTTTAGTTCCAGGAACTATAGTAGTCTGCTTTTAGCTCCACTCTACACAATTCTATAATGTTAAGCAATCTGTGTGGCTCTGATTACTTTATAATAGAGCTGAAACTTTTAACGCAGAGCTCAGAATTATTTTTAAAGATCTAAAACCGTTTCCAGGGAGGTTTGATGCCAGAAACAATATGTAACAAATCTTCAATAATCCCATTGTCTCTTGCAAGTTTACATTCCATGAGTGTTTCATATCCCACCCATTCTAAATAGTATACTCTTTGAAATGGCATTTTGACCTCTACCATGAAATGTTAAATAAATCTAGGTCCTGAAGCAATTTGGAGTGTCAGACTGAGAGAAGTTAGGGCTGAGTACTCACCACTCGCAACTCCTTTGAGGTAGGGAAATAGCAAATGTACACAATATTGCCCTATTAGAGATTTATTTCCTTAGGTCAGTGGTTCTCACTGCAGCTGCACACTGGAATTACCTGGATATCTTTTCAAAATGATTGATGCCAGAGTGCCTCCTCCAGAGATTCTCTGATGATCTGATAGTAGGGTCCCAGCAAAGTATTTTAAATAGCTGTACAGATGCTTGTAAAATATAGCCAGAGTAAAGAAATACTGCTTTAAGTTAATGCAAATGCAAATGAATGTTCCTTACTTTAAGCCGTTAGTCATTTTTGTCTTGTGACTTTGTTTAATCATTTTTTTGGTGTGTGTGACAGTATGGATGATCCCACTAAGGGAATGAAACTTGTAAGATTAGAGGTGAAAGTTAGAGAGGAAGGTATGTGATTATGGAACAAAGAAAGACAGCAACAAGAAGTATAGTAGGAACTCAGAAAGGGAGATAAAAGGTAGTGAAGACAAAGTTGTGTATTCCAGGACTTTGTCCTTGACTTCTGATAAAACATAGGCAGACTGAGATGAGGCATGAAGGGACAGGCAGGGAAAGTGAGCCATTTGTTAGGCTGTGCCCCAAGTATGACTTCTAGTAAATAAGTGTGCAAGTGTCCAAAAGAGTGTGTGGTACTTACTTACAGTTGATACTGCCAGTTGTTGGCATCTGCGGACATGCCAAGTGGTAGGTGGGATATGACAGTAGGAGTTGTGGAAGGGGAAAGAGTCTTAAAGTAAGATAGACCTGTCATCCACTTTATCATCTATTGAGAGCAGTGCCACAGCCCTGGGAGCATGAGAAGTAGGATCCAGAGTATAAATAGACAGAGTATTAGAACTTAGCTAAGTGGCCTTTGGTTCAAAGTACATCTCCAGCCCCATCATAGAATGATGAAAAACTGAGTCAGAAGTAAATGAGTATGGTTTTGACCAATAGAGCATTGAGGAAAGTTACAAAACACCAGGTAAAGCACAAACCAGATTAAATTTCAAGCTTATTTCCTAGCTCCTCTAAATTGGTAGGATTGAGAATGCTAAAGTGTTCCTAGTTATATTAAGGAGGTAAAAGAAAACTATAGAACACTGAAAAAAGAGATGGAGAAAGACATAAACAGATGGGAGAGCATACCATGTTCATGAATTGGTAGAAACAACATCATTAAAATGTCCATACTACCCAAAACACTCTATAGATTCAATGCACTCCCCATTAAAATACCAACAGCATATTTCCCAGATCTAGAACGAACTTTCCAAAAATTCATATGGAATAAAAAAAGACCCCAAATGACTGCAGCAATCCTGAGAAATAAGAACAAAGTAGGTAGAATCATATTACCAGATATCAAGCTCTATTACAAAGCCACTGTTTTCAAATCTGCCTGGTACTGGTACAACAACAGACATATAGATCAATGGAATAGAATAGAGAACCCAGAAATTGACTCAAGCCACTATGCTCAATTAATACTCAACAAAGGAGGCATGAACATACAATGGAGTCAAGACAGTTTCTTCAATAAATGTTGTTGGGAAAATTGGACAGATACATGCAAAAAAATGAAACTAGACCACCAACTTAAACCATACACAAAAATAAACTCAAAATGGATAAAGAACTTAAACATGAGATGGGAAACCATAAAAATACTAGAATCCACAGGCAGCAAAATCTCAGACATATGCCAAAACAATTTATTCACTGATACTGCTCATTGGGCAATAGAAACTAAAGAGAAAATAAACAAATGGGACTACATCAAAATAAAAAGCTTTTGCACAGCAAAGGAAATCATCAACAAAACAAGAAAGCCCACTTCATGGGAGAACATATTTGCCAATCATATCAAAGATAAGGGTTTAATCTCCAACTTTTACAGGGAACTCATACAACTTAACAAAAGGAAGATAAACAACCAAATAAAAAAAATGGGCAACATACCTAAATAAATACCATTTGAAAGAAGACAGAAGGAAGGCTAAGATTCATATGAAAACATGTTCAAAGTCACTAATCATCTGAGAGATGCAAATCACACCTTTCAGAATGGTTCTCATCAACAAATCAACAAATGACAAATGCTGGTGAGGATGTGGAAAAAAAGGAACCCTCCTTCACTGCTTGTTGGAATACAGACTGGTGTAGCCACTGTGGAGAATAGTATGGAGTTTCCTCAAAAAACTAAAAATGGAACTCCCATTTGATCCAGTGATCCCACTTCTAGGAATATATTCAAAGAAATTAAAAGCATCAATTA